AAAAAAAATATATATATAATAAAATGATCAATGTATTTGAAATACAAAGAAAAATGTAATACATCGATGAATTTTTTATTAAATAAAAATTATCTTGCATGTTAAAATTTTTAAGGGTTTCTTACATTAAGAGAATTACTATTAAAAGATAATTAAGTAGCAAGTAATGTATTAAAATTCTTTGTATAAATTGTGATGAGAAACAAATATTACATTATTTTCTAAAAATATTATAATTTGTGATTAATTACCATTATTATTTGCTTGTTTCCACCCTGGGATTAACAGCTGATTAATTTTATCATTAACACATTCTCCTGTATCAGCAATCGTCAAATAAACTCCATCCTTGGATAAACCTTCAAAAGTACATATTAGAGGCACTTCTGTGCCTGATATGTGGCGAAGATACATGTCAACTTCTTGGTTCATGGGTACGTCACGAGGTACATCTTTTAAGATTACTTTTATCGCACAGCTTTGTTGCTACAAGCATACAGACTTTAATATTCAAAGTAACTTATAAATGTATTTTTTTAATTAATAGAAATAATCAATTTTCATATTATAATATCTTAAATCTATGTTTGTGTGTGTGTGTGTGTGTGTGTGTGTGTGTGTGTGTGTGTGTGTGTGTGGGTGTGTGTGTTATATTATGTTATTATTCTTTAATCCAACTTTTATATTATATTGTTAATTTTATGTTTCGCTTTTACGTTTTTACAAATGTTAATTCTCTACTCTCTTTTCTGGCATTAGAGCAGCAAATTTTGCTGATGCCTTACCATTTTGTGCACCTATATTCTTAATTTTTCTCGTTAAACTCTATAGTTATTTTGTAATTAATGCACAAATAAATTAAAATTGAAATTAAATAATCCTATTTTTGATCAAAATGAATTTTAACGTTTAATAATACTAAATACAAATTTTTTGCAGATATATTTCAGTTTTATAAACTGAATGTTTTTTTTATTATCTTAATATGCACATCAGTACCTGTGAATGATATGGCATGACTTTAAGATCTTTTATGTCAATTTCAGCTAGGTTACCGAAATCAATATATACTATCTGAGCTTTATTATTCTGTGTCTTAAGTACCATTGCACGGTAACTGTTATCATCTCCTTCGAATGGTGCAATCACTACTTCTTTATCAGGTGGAGGTTCGGTTAGGTATGGTGCTGCAAATAAACAAAATAATTTACAATTCTTTATATAATTGTTTATCTCATTATAATTATTCACTGATTTTACCTGTTTGTGCATAATGTGCAACAGATTGCATAACATTATTATAATATTCTACATCCACTTCTTCTAAAGAGCGTGCAAACATACAATAATGATTTCGATAACTTGTAAGACATATCTAAAATCAGTCAACAGAAACAATAAAACTTCAATCAATAATAAAGTAATAATAAAGCAATAAATATATTGATATGTTATCGTTTATTTGCTACAACATAATCAAAAACGAAATTAAAAAATTACAATAAAAAAAATCATTTTTACACATTATTTATAAAAAGGGGACGGGAACATTAAAAAAAAACCATGTAGAAGTACATATTTTTATTCTACAATTAGTTTTTACATTATTAATTGCACTTTAAATTTAATATTATAATTTCCAATATTCAAATTTAAATTTTCTGAAAAACTTTTTTTTTAAGTTGTATTATGTTGTAGTAAATAAGTAATATTATACCTTAGATCCATTCTTTAACTCAAAATTTGATAAATTTCTCGGTTTCCAGGTCTTCAGTACAGCCTGTATCACTTCGGAGTTAACATACATTTGTATTTCAAGACTTTTTTGTTTGTTGCTATTCTCATTTATAATTGATGTAAACTCGTAATTTTGGTTCATCTTGTAACATAACACAATAAAAAACTGTATCTATATCTATAACTTGTATCAGTAGACAAAATACTTTAAAAGTACCTACTTCCAATTTGACAGTAGAATGATTTATTTCGCACATTACTCCAAAGGCACAAATATTTAAATATTTTTTGGGACATGGTACAATTTCATTTACTTGAAGAATTCTTGCCTCGTCTATTGCAAAAATGGAATTGGGATACGTCGAAATATATCCTCTGTACCAGCATTCCTGCCAGTAACCGCAAACCATTTCTTCTGCTTTTGGTCTAAAAAATGAAATACTTTAAGTAATGAAAAAGCATTATCAGTTTGAACTGCATCTTAGGCCGGTATTCATAGTTGAGTCTTATATTTCAGATTGTTTTAAGTACAGTCCTAAGATGTCATAAGCTAATCAGAAATTCTTATTAGCATCGTAAAACATTAGATAAGACGCTCTTGAAACAAGAATGGACTATGAATGAATGTCGGCCCCTTAATGCTGAAATATTTCGGTGCGAATTCATATACATATTTAGTTCTACAACTATGCACCGAAATCTCATTAACAATCTTTAAACACAATCTTAAATCAAATTGAGGCAGTATCACGAATTAAATTAAAAGTAATTTGATAAGACTAAGCATAGAAAGTTAGCAAGCATAGAAAAGATGTAAATAATCTGATGTTAATTAGAATCTTAAAAAACTAAATTTATTATGAAAAATATGATCTCAGCCAGGATACCAACATGGACCTCCTCATGACAGATGTCTTAACCAATTTGACCAATAAGGCTGTGGTGATATTTTGTCGCAATAATATATATAAGAGGAAACATTTGTTAAAAATACATGAAATAAACAAAATGTTGTAAGACCACAATGTGAATACACAATAAATAATAAAGACAAATAAAACACCCTATTTATTTCAATCTATGTTTAATGATATATATTCAGCAAATGTTAAAAAATTTATACTTTTAAATTTTATGCATATACATACTTGTAATCTGCAGGTATTTGTATTTTTGAACATTCTTCTTGTATATCTTCAAAGATCATCGTTACTTCAGTACTGAAAACTTGTGGAAGCAAAGTTACGCTATAAACGTTCTTTTGCGTGGATTCAAAAAATTGTATAAAACCGTTAATTTGCAACTCTGAACTATTTTGTGTCAAATCATCCAAAGCATCTAAGACGCTAGGTATTTGAATCGTGGAAGGATTTATACTTTTATTTGGTGATACCTTAAAATTCTTTTGTGATAATAACTTTTTCTTTGTACCGTTTGAAGCACTTTCTGTAGATGAAGATAAATTTTTTGCAGTAGATTGCTCTTCTTCTACTTCTACTATTATTGTTTTCTCAGAATTTAAAGTTAACATTCTAACAGAAATCTTCTCGCCTCGCTGTAGATTTTTATATTTATCACTTGTGCCTTGCGTCAAGCGAATTTTTCTAGCAAACTTAGGAAATTTGATCAGGTCACCAATATCTTTGATATCACTACTTTTTTCTAGTCTTTCATAGTTACCAAAGTCAATAAAATGGACCTTAGTAGGATTCAGAGATGTTACCATAGCTCTTTGCCAAACAGTTTCATATAAAACGCCATAAATTTCACCAATAACCGGCTGCATATTACGTGATTTTCTTGCGATATCTTGTAATTTCATCATTAAATTCGTACGTGCATCTGTATCTTCTAATTTATATATCCAATACTCATTATTATCTACTGGTATTATAACTTCCACAGTTATAAATTTTGTTTTTGATAACTGTGTATCTTTGTAAAAAGCTAAATCGTTGTTTACCGAACTATTACTAGAAATACTTCCTTGTCTATTGGTATTTTCTCTGCCATTATAATCGAAGTCTTTGTCACTTTGGAAACTATTCCTTTGAGAATCATTTCTATCATTATTGTAAGTTTTATCTCTTACATTGCTATTATTATCATATCTTTCTTTAAGACTAATCTTTTTTGAATCATTTTGATAATTACGGCTATATTGATTTCGGCCAAAGCTGGATGTTGGCGAGCATCCATTTTTTTTTTTCGACTGATCAATACTCTCGTTAGTATTATTATGTCCGCGCAATCGATGCTGTTGAGAAAATTCTTTAGTGTTTGTGGCATTTACTACAGGTTGATCTGCCATTTTAGTTTGAGATTCATTAATATTATTAATACGTTGAGATGCAGATACGTGTTTATCCTTAATATTGTTGATAGACTTATGAGTAGCTTCTATATTATTTTCATGCTCATTGATATTTTCACTGGTACTATTCGAATTTTCAATTTGCATCATATTAAACGTATTAGGCCGTCGCAATTTCACATCACCAGATTTAGTTAGTTTATCATTTGAGATAATCTTTTTTATTTGATTTGCATCTTGGTTAATTTGCAAAGATAATATATCATTAATTTCTTCCACTAATGCCCTGTGAAAAAAATGTATAATTTTAATAAATAAAGTATAATTAAAAAAATGTATAATTTTAATTTGTTATAATTAACAGAATGGATCAAAATAAATATGATTTTTAACATATATATAGTTATTTATTTGCTTTAATACGCTACTATAGTAAAAAAACATATCAATATATAAAAAAAACTTTTTAAAACTAACAAAAAAATATGGATAAGGAGATTTATGTATGTGTAAAAAATTTATTTAACACTAGTTATTAGAGGTAGCTCAATAACATAAAATATAAATAGGAAGGAGCATACAGATATAATAACTTATATAAATTTGTTTGTCAGAACTTGGCAATCCCGTTAATATACGGCGATCAAGAAATAAGATTTAATCTCATATGTCAAAAAGATCAAGGAATCAGAATAATTTTCGGATATAAACTTCATTTTGACATCTTAATTGGCGTTCGTATTATTTAACATCTCGTATTCGTTTATTGTACTGATGATGGCTAAGATTTGGCCGAAACATTTATTTTTAATTTGAAATATATGACTT